ATCCCAGTGGTTTTCCCATTTCTTTATTTTGGATCTTCTATCTTCAAACAAAAAAGGATTAGTTTCCTTCCAATGGCAGTCCAACTCCGCCGCATACGTGAACTTCAAAATAAATATGATTTATCATCAGAATGGCTCAGGTCCTAAAATGTTTGGAATAAACAGCACAAGGAGGGCTTCTTGATTCGTGGGATCTTCGTCACCGAGTTAAAAGTGAGGGATCTGGAAACTTTAAGATACATAAACAGAAGTCAAGTCAGTGCCGTGAACGTCTTTTCCTAGTTGAGTTTCCGTATGTGCACAGATCTTTCTGTGTTGCTGTAGAAATGAAGTAAAAACTAGGCAGTGAGTCACAGATTGTTGCTTTTCTCTTAGCAATTTCTCCAAAGAAGAAGAAAACATCTTTTATTCCACCTTTCTCTGCACATCTGGGGTTTCTCTGCACATGTGTATAATAATTTCTAAAATGGCAATTATTCAGTCATATTAATTTTAAAATATATTGCACATCTGGGGTTTCTCTGCACATCTGGGGTTTCTCTGCACATGTGTATAATAATTTCTAAAATGGCAATTATTCAGTCATATTAATTTTAAAATATATGCTTTATGTATTATTCACAGTGTAAATATTTCTGGTAATTGAAAAAAAGCAGGTCAGCCTTCATCGTTCTATTTTTACTTCTTTTATTTAGACCTCAATGTTTGGGAAATTAAAACTTGGGCCAGTATTTCCCACATGTTTTTCTGATGTGTCATTTAGCTGTATTTACATTTCTTCGGCACATTACAGTTTTACGCCGTTCTTGACATTGTCAGAATGAAAACCAGGTACGTAAGCCTTGCAGGTTTATAATCCAGAATGTACAGCTTACCTCTTGTTTTTTTCTTTGTATTGCCAGAGAGTGTGTGTGCTCGCCAGAGTCAGAGATGCAGAGAGAGACAGAGGGGAAAAACCTCCCCCCTCCAGTGGGATGTGGTCATGCTGCTGTCCCTTCCCCTCCATTCCTTTGAGATTTTGGCCATGATTCACACAAACATGACCGTTATAATTTTCACACTGGGATTCAAACCATGGTCAGCCATGTGGAATCCAGTTCCTTTAACCACTAGGCTATGGTGCTGGACCTCTTATTGTTTTTTTGAAGTATCTCATTGAAATTCTGTTAAATCTATGTTGTACTAATAATGCTGAATATCTTATTTTCCCTTAAGTATCATGTAGTATGTTTCTGGTGAATGATCCTGGAGGCTACTTACAAGGGGTCTTCAAAAAATTCATAAAAAATCCATATTATGAAAAAACTATGAATGTATTTCAAATATATTTGCATCAGAATAAATTTGTACTTTTTTTTTGTGAGGTTTTTGCTATAGGATGTGTGTACTCACCATAAAGACAGAGAGAAACAGAAAGCAAAAAATCACTCCCCAGGGGGATGGACACACCACAATCCCTACTCCTCCATTCTCCTCTCAGGATTTTAAGCACACATGCACACACATGGGGCGTGAGTTTCAGCCGCTGGGCCCAGGAATTGAACTATGGTCAACAATGTGGGAGTCCAGTAATGTAACCATTATGCCATCTGCTAGTCCCAATAAATTTGCACGTTAATTCCATTTTCTATGAGCTTTTTGTTGTTGTTACTATTATGGTATTTTTGTTTTTCTTTTGCTATGAGGTGTGTGTGCTCACCAGAGAGAGATGGGGTCAGGGAGGAGTGAGAAAGCACGCCCCAGGAGGGATGACTACACTGCAGTCCCTTCTCCATTCACCTCCTGGTATTTCAGGCATGCACTTGAACCGCACAGTCAGCATTGTGGTATCCAGCCACCTTAACCGCCATGCTACCTGGTTCGCCCTTCATGAGATTTTTGAAATCCCTTCCAATTTGTTCAGGGAGCATCTGCATAATGGTTGCCCTTTCTTAGAGGTTGGGATTTCCTTCTAGAGCCTCCATAGTTTGTGTTTTGTTTTGTTTTGTTTTATCTTTTTTAGTCTCCTCTTAGAAACTTAATGCTTTTTAATGAAGGGAACAGCACTGAAGCATTTTTTTAAAAAAATGCATAACCATTCACTTTATTCCTTCCCAAAGAATCAAAGTCATAGACCTAATAAACACACACTTTTGAATTATTCTGTCGTAACTAGAATGCTCATGGAAAATCACTTTACAGAGAGTTCTAGAAGAAAGACATAGGGAGAGAGCAAGCTTTAGGAGGTGACCTCAAAACCCTCAGGAAGTGGGTGGAAAGTATAAAGGGGAGAAGTCCTCCTCAGAGCAACCTTCCTGGTTAAGGTTGGAAACATATATTTTGAGAATCGCTCCAGAGACCATCATTGTTCCCTTTAATTCACATTTGGATGGCATCGTCCTTAAAAGGCTAGATTTTAAAACATTTTCCTTGATAATTTTGGGGTTCTATGTTTAGTAATGCTTCAGTCCAAGTGATTATTCAGACATCTCAGTAAGCACTGTGGTCCAGTTAGCAAAGCTGTTCACTTTACCTCTATAGTCTTATCCCAGGTCATATGGGAACACCATGAGATGTCACTAATTTGGAGCCCACATATCTTATTCAACAAATATATGTTGAGCACCTACTATGTGCCTGGCATTGTTCCAGGCACTCAGAATTCATCAATATTAAAATGAAGATTATGACCTTCATGAACCTTATCTTCGAGTTGAGGGAATGGATCACAAATGATTATCATAATAAATGAAAAATGATATAATGTGTGAATAGTCTGCTAGGGCAGCCATGTTAAAATACCACAAACTCTGTGGATTAAACAACAGAAATTTATTTCTCAGAGTTCTGGAGTCTGGAAGTCCAAGATCGAGGAGGCAACAGTTGGCTTCTGAGACCTCTCCCCCTGGCCTGCGTGTAACAGCTTTCTTCCTGTGACCTCACATGGCCTTTTCTCTGTCCACATTCATCCTTGATGCCTTTCTCTCTCTTCTTGTAAGGAGCCAGTCATATTAGACTAGGGCTCCACCCTTATGACCTCCTTTAACCTCACTTACCTCTTTAAAGGTCGTAATGCCAAACATATTCACATTGGAAGGTTAGGGCTTTGATGTATGAGTTGGGGGTAGAGAACACCATTCAATTCATAGTCACATGTTATTAGGTGATATTTTGGAGAGAAAATAAAATTAAAATGAAGTAAGAGATTGAGAGTACTTAGAGATGTGGATTGCAATTTTAGACAGGATGGTTGAGGTTGATCTCCTTGAGCAGGTGGTATTTGTGCAAAGACCTGAAGCTTAAGTTACATTCAAGGTTTGTCATAACAAGGCGGAAAGAAGGGGAGGGCAGTGAAATGGAGGTAGGTGAGGGATAAAGGAAGAGCAGGTCACAGGCCTTGATTCTAGTCCCTGCTCTGCATATTTCTGTTGCTGAGACTTCCAGGGTTTAGTTTCCAAATATGCTGGTCTGTGTGAACTTGTGATTCTAGAATATGCATTCTTAGAGGGACATGAGGTGGAAAAAAAGGACTTTGTGCTTGTGTTTTAGCTTGAGGTCTGTAATGGGCAAGAGTGATAGGTGTTCGTTTTGAGATTTCTATTCGTCTGTTTGTTAAGATGGAATGGGCTTAAGGCTCATTCTTATAAGTATCACTAAGAATTCTGTTGTATTAGGATGAGATCCTCTTTCTCAAAACACAAGACACCCAATATAACCACCCTCAAGCTTCTACTAGGTGGATTTTTTATTTTCATTTATTTTTTGGTAGTAGAGGTGTGTGTATGTGTGGTGTTTTAGACAGGGTTTCTATGTCATGATCCTTCTGCTCAGCCTCCCAAAGAGTTGGGATTACAAGTGTTCAGTATCCTGTCCAGCTTTAAGGTGACCTGGGAATTGAACCCAGGCCTTCATGTAGCCTCAGCTTATTAAGCAATGGTGTCCAGCACGCCCCACCAGAGCTAAGTCTACATGATCCTTTAAAGAGAAGCAAGATGCCTGAGAAAGGGAAAAGAGGAGGGAAGAAGGTGCTTGCCTCTTCCTTCTTGGTCTTTCCTGGGCCACGTGGAGCTCAATGGGAAGGCCTAGTACAGTGTAGCCAAGCCAAACTCCATCCCATAATGGGCCAGCCAGCTCTTCCCTGACCACACACTCCACAGCAACCAACGACATGAAGAATGGAAAAAGGACATTAATGGAAAACCTGGTGAAATATGAATAAAATTTGGAGTTTAGGTCATAGTGCTGGGAATTTCTTAGTTCCGGCGAATGTGCTGTGGTTATATAAGCTGTTAACATTAGGGAATGCTGCGTGATGGATGTGTGGAACTCTTTGAACCATCTCTGTGACTTATCTGTTAATCTAAAATATTTCCAAATAAAATGTTTTCTTTTAAAAAAAGTAAAGTGCATTTCAGATGCAGATGATTTGAGCTACAGACACGGATTTCTTCATGGTGACTAGAAAACCAATGCCAAGTTCATGCCCTGCTGTTTGTGGGTCAGTAGCATCAACTTACAGTCAGCCAAGGGTGGTATATCCCTATTCTGAGCTTTTCTTTTTGGCAGGTTTTCCATGCTCACCTTACCACCCCACCACAGGTGTTTGCTTTGGGTATTGCCTCTGGCTCATATTATTACTCAATATCTTATGGCAGAATAATTGCCTGGAAGCATTATTCTATAATAGGATTAGGTGGGAGAGTGCTAATAGGCCAGGGAAGGAAGTAGCAGTGGAAACAAGAAAAAGGACCTTTAGGGAAACCAAAGAGAAGCTGCCTAAACACTCTAAAGGCTGTGCTTCTTCAAATACTATGGGTTCAAAAGATTCAGAAGCCCCCACTCTTCCAAGTCCTGTGCTCCTAGAGTGTGTTGTGTTTTTGTGCTGGGGACCAAAAGCATATTTTGATCAGGCTGTCGACCCTCCAGCATTGTGCATATCATACTTTGTTAAGTACGGGGCAGCTAAAAGGTGGAGTGCCTTTTATACGTATGTATGTATCATTCTTATTTTCTTTTGACAGCTGCAAATCAGAAGGAGCCCATCAATCTTAACTTTAAAGTGAAAGAGGAGCCTAAGGACGAGGAGGCCCTAAGCACGACTTTGCCTCGGCCCAGCTACGTGTTCACCCCGGAATCCGAAGTGTCAGCCCCAAGCATCTCTGAGGACACACTTAAACCCCAGGAAGGGAAAGGGAATGTGCTAGGGCGGGATATGTCGGTCAAAGCGGCATCTGAACTGCTCATGAAACTCTCAGGTACCTGATTTCTTCTGAAATACTCACGTTCCGATCATTCTGATCACTTGCAGGCCAACTGAACTGCTTCCGCATGGGGTATAATTAACCTATCACATTATTGTGGTGTGTTCAAGGGATGATCCGATTACTTGGCTTCAGTTCTTCTGCTGTATGTATGAATTTGTGTGTGTACATTAGCTGTGTGCCCATCTTATTAAATACAACCTTTCCCTAAATATTGCTGCAATTGTTGGAAACTCCTGCCACTTTCTAAGACAATGGAGGCCATCATTTTAAATGGGTTCTGATGACATCTAAAGCCCTTCTGCTAATTGAGCCAAATCTCTACTCTTTCCTAGTGGAGGACCGTGCATTTTTTGTATATTGATGCTATATTGTTTAAGGACCATTAACTATATTTTTCTTAACTTCATAAGCAGTTGAGATGGCACTTGACGTAATTACATGGAGTAGTAATAAGAGGTTTTATGGATAGAGAAATTCATAATGGAATATTATAATAATTAATCCGTTCTTAGGATGAATGGGTAATTTTTTTTTACTAGTTATCTAAATGTGATCCCAGCCTTTTAAATGCAGGGAAAAAATAGGTTATAATTTGAAATGTATGTATTTTAGAATTTTTCCCAACTCAGTCTCCTATCTGTGTCCCATCCCCTCCACAATGGGTTAAAAAAAAATGTGGCTTTTTTTTTTTTCTTCTGAGAGAGAGAGATTTTTGGTTCAGGGTAATTACACTTGCCAGAGAGATGGAGGGAGACAAAGAGACAGAAAGCAAGAAATCATCCCCCAGGGGTGATGGTCCACATTGCAATCCCTTCTCCATTCTCCTCTCGGGATTTTGAGCATGCACACACACGTGCCCAGCAGGAGTTTCAAGCCTCCAGGTCTGAGATTCGAACCACAGTTGGCCATGTGGGAGTCCAACGACATAACCATTATGCCATCTGCTGGTCCCAAGAAAGAGCGGCTTTTACATTCAAAAGTGTGACTTTCAGAACATAGAAAGAAAAGTTATATCAATAATAGTACTTGTCAAGTCTATCCCATCCTTAGTTCACTGCCTCTTAAAGGTAATTTTTAGAAACTATATTTAAAATGCTAATATGAATCAAAAGCTGTTTTTAGTTTGGAACTCGCTGTGCTTAGAGGATGAAAGCAAGAAATGCATTAGAGAGACTCCTCTGCGATCTATAATTTCATCAGCAATTCTGACAGTGCTTCTGGTTGACTAGTTGGAAAGTAAGAAATTAATAGTGATTTATTTAGAGTCATCAGAACAGCTGAAATTCCTACCTTTGCCAGCTGGTGGGGTTAAGAATTCTTTTCTTTGATGTTAATTCAAAGCACGCAGGAACTTCAGGGAAATATGATTTATTATAGATAAAGCATAATACGATCACGACATCCTTGTTAGCGCCCCATTTTCCTAAATTTTGGAGTGATGGTAAAGGCTCTTCCTCTGCAGATGGGAGGTCTAGCAAGATGGTACTGATTACTGAACGTTTTAAAGAATGATGTTTCAGCCAACACGTTGTCACATATTTGCACCCCTTGCCTGTATCCAAAGAGCTCAGAGATGTAGAATAATCCATCTGTTGCTTTACTGGTCAGTCTAGAGAAGTCACACACTATTTCTCCCATGGCTTAAGCTTTCCTATTACAGTAACAGTAACTCATCCAACAGTGACTCCTGTCCCCTTCCCAAAGGTGAGAGGCTAGGTGTACTCTCTGTATTAAATGCAGGGAAAAAATAGGTTATAATTTGAAATGTATGTATTTTAGAATTTTTCCCAACTCAGTCTCCTATCTGTGTCCCATCCCCTCCACAATGGGTTAAAAAAAAATGTGGCTTTTTTTTTTTTCTTCTGAGAGAGAGAGATTTTTGGTTCAGGGTAATTACACTTGCCAGAGAGATGGAGGGAGACAAAGAGACAGAAAGCAAGAAATCATCCCCCAGGGGTGATGGTCCACATTGCAATCCCTTCTCCATTCTCCTCTCGGGATTTTGAGCATGCACACACACGTGCCCAGCAGGAGTTTCAAGCCTCCAGGTCTGAGATTCGAACCACAGTTGGCCATGTGGGAGTCCAACGACATAACCATTATGCCATCTGCTGGTCCCAAGAAAGAGCGGCTTTTACATTCAAAAGTGTGACTTTCAGAACATAGAAAGAAAAGTTATATCAATAATAGTACTTGTCAAGTCTATCCCATCCTTAGTTCACTGCCTCTTAAAGGTAATTTTTAGAAACTATATTTAAAATGCTAATATGAATCAAAAGCTGTTTTTAGTTTGGAACTCGCTGTGCTTAGAGGATGAAAGCAAGAAATGCATTAGAGAGACTCCTCTGCGATCTATAATTTCATCAGCAATTCTGACAGTGCTTCTGGTTGACTAGTTGGAAAGTAAGAAATTAATAGTGATTTATTTAGAGTCATCAGAACAGCTGAAATTCCTACCTTTGCCAGCTGGTGGGGTTAAGAATTCTTTTCTTTGATGTTAATTCAAAGCACGCAGGAACTTCAGGGAAATATGATTTATTATAGATAAAGCATAATACGATCACGACATCCTTGTTAGCGCCCCATTTTCCTAAATTTTGGAGTGATGGTAAAGGCTCTTCCTCTGCAGATGGGAGGTCTAGCAAGATGGTACTGATTACTGAACGTTTTAAAGAATGATGTTTCAGCCAACACGTTGTCACATATTTGCACCCCTTGCCTGTATCCAAAGAGCTCAGAGATGTAGAATAATCCATCTGTTGCTTTACTGGTCAGTCTAGAGAAGTCACACACTATTTCTCCCATGGCTTAAGCTTTCCTATTACAGTAACAGTAACTCATCCAACAGTGACTCCTGTCCCCTTCCCAAAGGTGAGAGGCTAGGTGTACTCTCTGTATTTCAGAGTTCGATGTGCAGCTAATACTGAGAGCAGCAGAGGCTGGCGTGGTCCCAAAACATAATTTGCAAAAATGAGAATTCAGGGAAGATCTTCTTTAGGAGAATTCTTTTAACTTAATTTTTTTTAAATTAATAAATTGATTTTTTTCAATTTTTTTTTTTTTTTTTTTTTTTTTTTCAAAACGGTTGCTCACCAGAGAGAGACAGAGAAATAGAGAGAGGGAAAGTGAGAAATCTCCCCCACCCCCAGGGAGATGGTCACACCGCAATCCTTTCTCTTCCATTCTCCTCTCAGAATTTTGGGTATGATGCGCACGTGCCAGGTGTGATCTTCAAACTACCAGGTCGAGGACTCGAGCCATGGTAGACCATGTGGGAGTCCAATGCCCATACCACTGAGCCATCTACTGTCCCCTAACTTAATACTTTTGGATGATGTAAGTTAAGACACTGAAGCATCAAATCACTTCCTAGACAGTAAATGAGATATCTCGGATAGAATCTGTCTCGGATAGAATCTGGAGCCATGAACGTGTAATGCTATTTGTGGACAGCAGTGCCCCTTCTAAATGTGGATGCTAACTTTGAATGAGTATGTGGCTGGAGGTTTCACAATAGTTGAATGAGTGGCACTGCCATCTATCCAAAGGGCATCTGCCCCTGCTTTGTGATATAGAAACAAAACCTTGTTTAAAAACTGACAGGTAGATTTTGGCCCTGAAAAAATTTCTCAGCATTCTGTGCGCAAGAGACTTAAGTCAAAGAAATACACATCACAGTTCATATCCTGTTAATACTATGGTCTGGGGACCAGCAGTTAGCGTAATGGCTATGTCGCTGGACTCCCATGTAGTTGATTGTGGTTTGAGTCCCGGACCCGGTGGCTTAAACTTGCGCCGGGTGCGTGTGCGTGCTTGCCCAAGATTCTGAGAGGAGAATGGAGGCGAAGGGATTGTGGCATGGCCATCCTCCCTGGGGGGTGATTTCTCACTTTCTGTCTCTCTGCCTCTCTGTCTTTCTGGCGAGCGCACGTCCCCTATAGCAAAAACTTCTCCAAAAATATAAAATAAATAAATAAATAAAATACTATAGTCTGGTCAGCAGTAATCCTGGGTACTGAAATCCGTACAAGTGGTTTGCACTTAGAACTTAGTACTGCTCTACCGAGCAGCGTTTGTTCAGGGGAACTGCAAAGAAGTGTCTAAGTTAGACCTAAAAAATAGGCTTGTGGCTTTAAAACACTTGTCTTTTTATTCCTAAGCCACCAGATAAAGAGGGCCTTTTAGATTTAAAGTAGGTATTAGCGTATCTTTCTTTCTTTTTAAGAGAGATTTTTGCTATAGAATGCATGCGTTTACTGGAGAGACAGAGACAAAATCAGAAAGTGAGAATCATCCCCCCTGGGGAGGGGGGATGGCCACACCAAAGTCACTTCTCCTCCATTCTCTCAGGATTTGGGGCATGCACACACACACACACACACACACACACACACACACACGGCCAGTATGAGTGTCGAGCTGCCAGGTCCAGGACTCAAACCACAGTCAGCCATGTGAGAGTCCAGTACCTTAAGCACTATGCCATCTGCTGACCCAGTATGAGAGTTTCTAATCACTGATATAGATCAGTGCTCTTGCAAGAAGGAGAATATTAGGAAAAAAAAAAACCTCATTTACTCTTTTCTCAAATTGTAATTTTAGCAATTTCAGTGTCCTGAAAGACAATCCAAGTAAAGGATTTGTCAGCATCTTTGGAACCCTTTTTCTATGGTCATGCCTGCCCCATATAGACAAGAATAGTAAGTCCTCTTTCCCAAGTGTCTATGTAGTTACCCAGGGCTGCTCCACATCCACCTCAGTGGACACTCCCAAAGCTTCATGGTAGGAGTTCTTGTGAATGAAAGTCCCCGTTGCTTCCTGTCATGCTCATGTTCATGGATAGTCTTCTCTCATGCTGGGGAAAACCCTTTCAGACAGGAATCATTGGTATGAAAATCTCACCTAATGTTAAATTACTCTTGCATAATACATGGGACATAGTTTCCTTGTTTCAGTTGTGACCCAAGGAAGAGCCAAGCTAGGAATTAAAA